TTTCTGTTCATGTATTTGTCAGCTTTTTAAAATCATGAATTATTTAATTGAAAGACAAAGTGACAGAGAAGAGAGTTTCTATCTGCTGATTGTTCCATCCCCAAATAACTGGAGCTATCCAGGTCTCCCACGTGGGCTGTCTTCTGCTGCGGCGTTTCCTGGCCAATCAGCAGACAGGATGCACTGCTGCTCTGATTTGGAAGGCAGCATTGTAGACGTTGCCTTAACTTGCTGTACTACAACGTTGACCCCATATTTAATGACTTTTTCTTTGGGTTTGTATTGTAGTGCAATATATATAATTACAATTGTCATCTTAGCCATTTTGAAGTATGCTATTCACTGCCATGAATTCACATGCCATCCAAAAACCTTTTCAGCACCCCCAGAAATTTTACACGTTAAGGAGTACGTTCCCATTTCTACTCTGTGGTAACCTCTAAACTACTTTGTAATAGATTATCTGTTACAGATAATTCATATTCTCATATTTGGAATTTTAAGTTTTTGACCAGTTGTGTCCAACTTCTTTCACTTAGCATACATAGTATTTTCAGATGGATCCTCCATTTGGTAGCCTGTATCAGAATTTCGCTCCTTTAAAGGTTGAACATTTTATCAAATCATCTATTGATGGATGTTGAGTATTTTCCAGCTTTGGCTAATACAGATAATGCTACGGTGAACGTTGATATGCAAGTGTCAGTTTAAGTCCCTTTGTGCAGTTCTTTTGGGTGTACACCCTGCAGGGTGGTTGCTGGGTTAGCTGGCCATTGCTGTGGTTAGGTTTTTGAGCAGCTGCCACATTGTTTTCCACAAAGGCGGTATCTCCTTACATCGCTAGCAGCTATGCACAAAGGTCACTTTCTTTACATCCTTGCTTACGTTTTTTTTTTTTTGCCCCTCTTCTAATAGGTATGGAGTGGTACTCATTGTGCTTTTGGCTTGTATTTCCTTAATAACTGATAGGTTGAACATCTTTTCATGTGTTTCTTGGCCATTTGTATATGTTCTTTAGAAAAATGTCTGTATAAGCTCATTATCCATTTCTTAATTTGGTTGTTGGTATTCTCTGTTGTTGAAGTTCAGGAGATTCTTACATAATTGTGGTGTTAGACTCTTATTAGCTATATGACTTGCAAATATTTTATCTCATTCCAAACCCAACCCAAAGATTGATATTTTTGTTTGTTTCCTGCACTTTTGGAGTCTTATTTATTTTTGAAAGATAGAACTACAGAGAGGGAGGAGGGGGAAGGAGAGGCGTAGGGAGAGGCAGAGAGATATCTCTCTCCTGGCTAACCTCCCAAATGGCTGCAATACCAGGTTCCAGGAGCTTCATCCACACCACAGCATCACTGCCATTTAGATTCTTGACAAGGTCCTCTGGTGAACAAAAGGTTTTGTTTTGTTTATTGCTTTCCTTTTTAAAAAAATATTTATTTTTATTGGAAAGTCAGAATTACAGAGAAAGAAGGAGACAGAGACTGATCTTCCTTCCACCTGCTGGTTCACTCCCCAAGTGGCCGCAAGAGCTGCAGCTGAGCTGATCTGAAGCCAGGAGCCAGGAGCTTCTTCCGGGTCTCCCATGTGGTGGCAGGGTCCCAAGGCTTTGAGCCGTTCTCCAGGGAGCTGGATGGGAAGTGGAGCAGCCTGGATACAAATTGACACTCATATGGAATCCTGGCACACTCAAGGCAAGGACTTCAGCCACTAAGCTACCACTGGGGCCTATTGCTTTCCTTTAAAGCTGTGTTTATTTGAAGGGCAGAGTTAAAGAGAGAGAGGACAGAGAGCTCTTTCGTCTGCTAGTTCACTCCCTAACGGGTTGGAATGGCGAAAAATGAGTCTGGCAGGAGCTTCATCTCTGTTTCCCGTGTGGGTACAGGTTCCTAAGTACTTATAACATCTTCTGATATTTTCCTAGGTGCATTAGCTGGGAGCTGGATCAGAAGTGGAGTGGCTAGAATAGGAAGTGGTGCCAATATGGGATATTGGCATCACACATGGTGGCCTTAAGTATGATGCCACAGTGCCAGTTTCTAAACAAAAATTTTTAATTTGGATGAAGCTCAGTTTATTTTTATTGCTTGCCTTTTGGGGTCATAACTAAGAACATATTGCCAAGTCCAAGGTCCTGAAGACTTATTCTTGTTTCCTTGTTTCCTCCTGAGAGATGTGCTTTTTAGCTCTTATTTTTAGATCATTGATATATTTTGGGCTAATTACCCCATTTGATTTGAGTTAAGGCTCCAACTTAATATTTTTAAATGTAAAAATCAATTGTCCCAATAGTTTATTGAAGAGACAGTTTTTTTTTTCTCTATCGAATGAACTTGATACCTTTGTTAAAAATTGATTAGCCACAGATATATGCTCACTTCTAAATTCCTGTGCCTGTTTCATTGATCTGTATTTGTTTACCTGTGGCAGTACCACATTGTGGCACTATAGTACTTTTTTCTTAAAATCTTTTTAAAAGACTTATTTATTTTTATTGGAAAGTCAGATTTGCAGAGAGAAGGAGTTACAGGTTCACTCCCCAAGTAGCAATAATGGATGGTGCTGAGCCGATCTGAAGCCAGGAGCCAGGAGCTTCTTGCAGGTCTCCCACAGGGTCCCAAAGCTTTGGGCCATCCTCTGCTGCTTTCCCAGGCCACAGGCAGGGATCTGGATGGGAAGTGAGTCCTCTGGGATTAGAACTGGCACTCATACGGGATCCCGGGCAAGGATGCAAGGCAAGGACTTTAGCCACTTGGCTACTGTGCTGGGCCCTTAAATTTAATTTTTAATGTCTTTTACATGGTTGAGAGGGATGCAGGCCCATGTGGGCCACTGATCAGTGTGGACAGGGTCAAGGTATGTAGGAATATGGGTGAGACAAATGTTTTAGATTTCTTTTTTTCTCCTGTGTCTGAAGGGGTAGTGGGGGAGACTATGCCTTCCTATGAAACTACATCAGCACGTGGGGATGGGAGATGGTTGCTTTAAGACACCTTTGAGACCCTGATGAGGGGAAAACTTTTCCAATGTGTTACTTTAGTGTTTTTTAAAAAATATTTACTTATGTGTTTTTAAATTGGTAAGGTAGGTTTACAAATAGAAGGACGGACAAAGAAAAAGATCTTCGATTTGCTGGTTCACTCCCCAAGTTGCCATAATGGTCATAGCTTAGCTGATCCAATGCCAGGAGCTTTTTCTGGGTCTCCCACATGGGTGTAGGGCCCAAAGTTTTGAACCATCCTCTACTGTTTTCCCAGGCCACAGGCAGGGAGCTGGAAGGGAAGTGGAGTAGCTTGGGTGTGAACCAGCACCCATAAAGGATTCTGGTATGTGCAAGGTAAGGATTTAGTCATTAGGTCATTGCGCTACATCCACTTGGATGGTTTTGACCGCTCTGAGATGTCCTCGGCTTTGTTTTACCAGGGTTGAGAAAATCTTTCTAAGGTCTGCTGACTGACAGTGTCTACCAGTGTCCCCAGGCCCAGGAACATGTTGCTAAGTTTAGCCAGAATTGTCCAACCTGTTCTGCTTTCCATCCTCTGTTGAGGCAATAGACATCCCCTGTGGGCCTAAATGAGCTGACTGTCATGTCCCCCCGTGTGCATCTGGATATGCTGTCCACTACACAGGCATCAGCAGTTGAATAGGCCCAGTCCTGATGCATGTACTCCATGGTCAGATCATATATTGTGATTTTTTTCCTGCGTCCAGGGTCTGAGTCCAGCAGTCCAGTCAGGGAGCTCCCTCAAGAAATCTCCCCTGGGTAACCTTAGACTTGACTGGTGTGTGCACCAGCCCATGCAGGGTCAAGTTTTCTGTCCATCACCTGTACTAGCCAGTGCACATAATGGGAAATCCAGCTGCCTGGTCAGTTCCACCTAGCCCTGTCTCTCACATGAATTGAAGGGTACTATGTAGGCCAGCCCAGCCTGCCACAGGCTGATCTTCATGCCCACCAGTGAGTACCACAGCCTAGTTGGGACGACTTCAAATATCCCCCACCACACCTGCCCCCAACCCCAGTTTCCCCAGTGCCAGCATGTGCTAGGGCCTGGCTTGGCTTGTTCTACATTCCATTTGATTCTTGTGTACACCTGTGGGTGTTGAAGCTTAGCTTAGCCTGACCTGCCCCAAGACACCTCTCACATGTATGCCCACAGTTGCTGCTGCCTTGACCAGACTGGCCTGCTCCCAGTCCATGCTCTCTTGCTTACCAAGAGCTACAGCCCAGCAGGGGAGTGCCTGTGCCCAAGGTTCCTGTCAGGCTGACTCCCAGCCATGGATCTTGGCACCTGCCAGGAGGTACTATGGTCCAGCCTGATGTGACTTGTATAGACTCTCAGCACTTACCAGCTGATGCTGCAGCCTAGCTTGGCTGGCCTACACCCTTTCTGGCTCTCACGATGCTAGCAAGTGCAAAGGCCTAGTCCAGCCTGACCTGCTCCCAGTTCCAGCTCTCACATTCACCAGTAGAAACAGCAGTGAGTCCCCGAAGTTCCTCTATCAGGCCCACTTCCAGCGCCAGTAGCTGCTACGGCCTAAGCTGAGATGACCTGCCTAAGTGTTGGCATTCGCTAGCAGGTGCTATAACCTGGCTTAGCCTGGCTCACACCCAGCGCCAGCTCTCAATAGTGGGTGCAGCAACCTAGCCCCAGTGTGAACTAGTAGGTGTTGTGGTCCAACCAGGCCTTGCCTGCATCCCATTCTGGCATTTGTGCCACTGTGAGCTGTGGATTGGCCCAGCCCAGGATGCCCCAGATCTGCCCTCAACCGCTTCCACGCTAGCATCCCCTTACCTGGACAATCTGTACCACCCTTATCCAGGAGCTGGAGTAGCATGTCCCAACCCGATCTCCCCTACCTTCTCTATATATCTTTTAAAAACCTGGGGATTTCTCCATGTGCTTGGGTCCGGGTGGCATGGGGGGTGGGAGGGGAAGAGATCTAGGTGAGCATGAGAACCAGGGCTGTGTGTGCATAGGCTGATATGGGTGTTGGACTGATCTGGACGCCATACTGACAAGCACTTACAAGAGTCAGGTCTGGGATCATTTCAGGCAAGGTTTCTTTGGGGATCCGCCTCTGGACTCAGAACTCCAACCATCAGAAGAGTCACAGGATCTATGGTCTGACCATTGAGTGCATGTGTCAGAACTGGGTCACCTCATTGGCTTAGGCGGAGCAGTGGATAACACACCCAGATGCATATGGAGGATATGGCATTCCACTGGAACCTGCAGAGAATATCTGGTACCATTGCAAAGGAGGGAAGACAGAACAAATAGATCAACTACCCTGCCAAGCATTGACAGCAAATATCTAGGTGAATGGAGACTCTAGGGTAGACCAAGTCAGCCTGTGTTCCTTATCCTTGGATCAGTGAAATTCACAGCATCTCAGAATTATCAAATCCACTTGAGCAGAGCCCTTGGAGCAGGCTCCACATCAGGGACCCTGGGATGACATCGGTTACCTATCCCTGGGTACTCAGGTGGTTGGGAGGCTGGGTGTGGCTTTCGCCCCATCTTTCTCCTTCCCCCAGACATAGAAAGAAGAGAAAGAGAATTTGTAAACAATGGTCTCATTTTGCCCTAATCCTTGACCCCTCTCATACTGATCAAATATGTAAATATCATAAAAATGAAGTTTATAAAAAAAATAGGCAACTGTGCTGGCACACTGGCGTAGGTAAAACAAACTTGGCATTTACCAGGCCCAGAGTGCCTGCCAGCTACTGGCTGCTTTTTTTGCAGCAGTGTAACACTTGTGTAGGTACAAGGCACCCTAGGCAGTTGCCTACAGCTGGGGCATTGCAGCAATTTCAGAATGGCAAAGCACTAGTCTTGATGGTTTTAGCTTCTCAGATTCCCCCAAATTCTGTTGGAGGGTTAGGAGTTTCATTTCTGCAAAAAATGAAAACAAAAACTTGGTGAGATTTTAGTAGGAATTGAATTGAATTTAGGCTGCTTTGGGTACTAATACTTTCCTCACAATATTGTGTTACTGCCTATGTACACTATATGGCTTTTCATTATTTAGATCATCGTTGATTTTCTTCAGCCATGTTTTATCGTTATTTAGAGTAAAACTGGTTTCTTTGGTTAAATTATGCCTAGATAATCGATTCTTTTAGATACTAAAAGGAGTTATATTCCTAACTTTTTCACACTATTATTTTGTATTGGTTTTTTTCATACTATTATACCTGTATTGATTGCAGGTTTATATAGATTTTGTATCTTGCAACTTTGTTGAAATAACTTGTTAGTTCTGGTAGCTTTCTTGTGGAGTCTTTGGAATTTCTTTATAGGACTATTGGCAAATAAAAGTTGTTTACCTCTTCCTTACCAATTTTGACTTTAGTTTCTTTTTCTTGTCTACTGCTCTGGCTAGAACTCTAATTCATTGTTGAGTATGAAAGTGTCATTGTCTTTTTCTAATCTCAGTGGGAATATTCTCAGGCTTAAAGCATCAAGTATGTTAGGTGTAAGCTTTTCATGTCTTATGTCAGGGTGAAGGAGTTTATTCTCAGCAATTTTTTTTGGAATCCTGGAAAGGTACCGTGTTTTGTGAAATGCTTTTTTGGAGTCAGCTGAAACTTTTTTTCCACTTTCATTTGTTGGTGTATAATTAATTCTTTTTATGTTGCATCATTTTTGCATTCCTGGGTTGAATTCAATTTGGTCAAGATGTATAATCTTTCAATGTGGTATTTGATTCAGTTTGCAATATCTTGTTGAGATTTTTGCAATTATAATTTACAAACGATATTAGTCTGTATTTTTCAGACGATATTAGTCTGTATTTTTCAGGCAATGCCTTTTTTTTTTTTTTTTTAGTATGAAGGTATTGCTGGTCTCATGGAGTGAATTTAGGAAGTGTTTCTTCCTCGTTGCTTATTAAGAATTTGAGAAGATTGCTTTTAGTTTCGGAACTGTTTGGTAGAATTCGCCAGTGTAGGTGTTTGGGCCTGAGTTTTTCTTTGTTGGGAAGTTTCTGATCACTGTTTCAGTCTTATTGCTTGCCATAGCTCAATTGGAGTTTTTTAAAAAATTGTTTTTACTTGCGTTTGTTTAGGTAATTTGTGTATTCCCAGGAATTTGTTCATTTTTTTCTGGGCTGCTTTATTGTGCAGTTGTTCATAATCCTTATTATCCGCCTCATTTCTGTAAGGTTGGTAGTAATGCTTGAATGTTCATGTCTGACTTTAGTTATTTTTGATCTTTTTGTTTTTAATGACTGTCTAAAGTTTTGTCAATATTATTGATTTTCTTTCCCCACAGATTCAACTTTCTGGTTTCATTGAGTTTCTCTGTTTATCTTATCTATCTGCTCTAACATATATCCTTCCTTCTGCTCGCTTTGGATTCAGTTTACTGTTATAGAAAACAAAGGTGTAGGCCTAGCTTTGATCTGAGATCTGGCTTCTTTTTGATGGAAGCATTTTTTTAGCTGTATATTTCTATCTGTGTAGTATTAGCTTTGCTGCTTTCTGTTAAGTTTTGAAATGTTGGGTTTTCTGTAAGTGTTGCTTTCTAAATATTTGCTGGTTTTATTTGGGAATGATCCTTTGACCAATTATATGCCTTACAGTGAATTTCTTTAAGATTTATTTATTAAGTGAAATGCAGTTAGAGAGAGAGAAAGGTAGAGAGAAAGATCTTATATCTGTTGGTTCACTCCCCAGATGGCCACAGTGATTGAAGCCAGGCCATTCCAGGAGCCAGGAGCTTCTTCTGGGTCTTCCTTGTGGGTTCAGGGGCCCAAGCAGTTGGACCATCTTCCATCCCAGGAGAATCAGCGGGGAGCTGTACCAAAAGTGGAGAACCAGCACTTGATCTTGGTGCCATTATGGAATTTTGCCCCAGACGGAAACTTTACCCATTATACCACTGCACCAACTCTAAGAGTACATTTGAAAATGTTCTACATACTGGCCCTGGAGTTGTCACACAGCAGGTGAAGCTGCTATTTATACTGCAAGCATTTTGTGCAACACCAGCATTCCAAATCGGAATCCCAGTTTGAGTCCTGGATATTCTGCTTCTGATCCAGTCTGTGGAGTGGGGCTCCTTGCTCATGACTTGGTCTTGATGTTAAAAAAAAATTTTATATATTTAAAATTTTTTGAGTTTTTGCTACTAGTTTCTAACTTTATTTAACCAAAAAAAAAAATTATTGTTTCAATTTCTAAACATTTATTGAGATTTTATTTTGTGTCATGGAGTATCATGGAAAATGTCCTTGGGTGTACCTGAGGCGTGCATTCTAATGTTACTGAGTGGACTGTTATTATGTATGTCTTCCAGGTCTAATTGGTTTATAATGTTCAAGCCCTCTTTTTCCATATTGATCTTCTCAAGGTATTCTACCCGTTATTGAATTTTGTGATTGAAATCCCAGCTGTTATTGTTGAACACTTCCTGCCTTCTTTTCAGTTATTGTTGGCTTCCTGTATGGTGCAGCTCTGCTGTTTTCCTATGTGTTTCTAATTGTTAGTACTCATCTTGATGAACTGACCCTTGAGCAACGTGTAGTGCTTTCTGTTCTTTGTCTCTTGGAATAATGTTTGACTAAAGACCTATTTTATCTAGCATTATTGGGCCAGTAAAGCTCTTTTTTTTTTGTTACTATATATGTGGAATTTTTAGAAATAGTCTTCACTTTGACTCTTTATAGTTTTAGGAAGAAGTGAGTTAAAAAAAAATTCACTTACTTATTTGAAAGGATGAATTAGAGAGAGAAAGAAAGGGAGGGAAGGAAAAGAGGGAAAGGGAGAGAGAGCGAGCTCTTCCATCTACTAGTTTACTCTCCAAGTGGCCATAGCTTCTGGAGTTGGTCAGTCCAAAGCTAGGAGCAAGAAGCTTCTTCCAGATGTCTCACAGGGAAACGGTGGCCCAAGTTGGCTATCCTTCGCTGACTTTTCAGGAGCAGTAGTATGGAGCTGGATTGGAAGTGGACTTGAAGCAGCACTGCAGGCAGCTGCCTAACTGTATCACAGTGAGGGCCTGTTGGATTATATATGTTTTTAATTAATTATGCCAATTTCTGCTTTTTATTTGAGAGCTTGATTCAATTTAATGATTGCCATAGAACAACCTCTGCTTTGTTATTTTCCTGGATTTTTAAAAGCCTGTTTTATGGTCTGGTGTGGTTAGCCTAGTGGCCAAAGTCCTCACCTTGCACGTGCCAGGATCCCATATGGGCACTGGTTGTTGTTCCGGAGGCCCTGCTTCCCATCCAGCTCCCTGCCTGTGACCTGGGAAAGCAGTCAAAGATGGCCCAAAGCCTTGGGACCCTGCACCTGTGTTGGACACCCGCAGGAGGCTCCTGGCTCCTGGTTTCAGATCAGCTCAGCTACAGCTGTTACACCCATTTGGGAAGTAAAATAGCGGATTGAAGATCTTCTCTGTCTCTCCTCCTCTCTGTATATCTGACTTTCCAATAAAAAAAAAGCATGTGCTATTCATTTCATATTACATATTGCCTTCTTTTTAAAAGTTGGTTTAGGTAAGAACTATTTGACTTCATTATTACTTCCTTCTGAGTATTTCCATAAAGATTTATTTACTTTTATTGGAAAGACAGATTTACAGAGAGTAGGAAATACAGAAAGATCTCTGTCCACTGGTCCACTTCACAAGTAGTTGCAGCAGCTGGATTGAGCCGATCCAAAGCCAGGAGCCAGGACCTTCCTCTGAGTCTCCCATGTGGATACAGGGTCCCAAGACTTTTTGGCCATCCTTCACTGCTCTCCCAGGCCACAAGCAGGGCTGGATGGGAAGTAGAGCAGCCAGGACTTGAACCAGTGCCAGTGTTGGATCCTGGAACTTGTAAGGTGAGGATTTAGCTACTGGGCCACCACATGCTGGGCCTCTTTATGCATTTTTTAAAAAGTACTTTATTCATGGCTACTATGGGGATTGCATTTAACATCCTGAGTGATACCAGTGTGGTTTGAATTAATAGCACCTTATAGTAGCATATAAAAACTCTGTTCCTAATCAGCTAGGTACCATTCCCATTTATGTTATTGTCATTTAAAATTACATCTTTGTACAGTATTCCTACCCTCTTCCATGAGGGATACCCAGTGACTGCCTGAAACTGGATAAACCAAATCCCAGGTATGCTGTTTTTTTCCCATTCATATATATTTATGGTGAAATTTCATGTCTGAATTCAGTATAGTGAGATTAGCTATAACCAATAAAATGGGACTACTATAACAATGTACTGTCATAAGATATATGTAATTGTGTTTTTGCCCTGAAATCATTTTCTTTATGGTGCTCATTCTTGTGATGGGGAATGCCATAAGTCTAGCTATTCTTCTTACCTTTGTTTAAGGCTTGCGTGATGCATCATTTTCTATCCCATACCTTGTGGCTTGCTTGCATCATATTTGAAGGGACTGTCATGTAGATAGCTAGTTGAGTGAATTTAGCCTATTAATCTGTTTTCAGTTATTATATTAAGATCATTTATACCCAATTCAATTCTTTAGAAAAATATGCATTTATTTGTTTGAAAGGCACAGTAATAGACTGATGTCTTCCATCTCCTGGTTCACCATTGCCAAATGGCTGTTAACAGCCAGGACTAGGCCAGGCTAAAGCCAGATGCCCACAACTTCATCTTGGTCTCCTGTATCAGTGACAGGAACCCAAGTACTTGACCCGTCATCCACTGCCTCCTAGACACATTAGCAGGGAGCTTTACTGAAAATGAATAGGCTAAACTCACTCAATACTAGGAAGAACATAAGTGACACTTTGATGTGGAATACTTGCATCTCAGTTGGCTGTCTAACCCGCTGTGCCAGAGGCCCTGCCCTTCCAGTACAGTTACAGATATGTTAGGGGTTAAGTCTGTTTTGCTTTTTATTGTTTTTTTTTCTCAGTAACTGCAGATCACTTACATTTTGAAGACTTATATTTTATTTTTTATTGTTCTGTTTTAGTTTCTCTAGCTTTTTTTAGTGGCTATTCTAAATATCTAAATTACATATACATAAGTTAATAGTCTGTCGGTATCCTCATTTTATTAGTTTGAGTGACTTAAAGAAGCATCCTCTGTCTCCTAGTTTTTTCCTGTGTTTTTCCTAGTGTTTTCTCTCTGTATGTTTCAGAACCACATGAAATAATGTTACAACCCAACCACTGAATAACAATAAGAAAAGCCAAGAAGAAAAGCTTACATTTACTCATTTTTTTCTCCATGCTTTTCCTCCTTTCTTGAAGCTCTGAGTTGTCTTTTATCATTCCTTTCCTATTTAGAAGACTTCCTTTAGTCATTCTTTCAGGGTGGGTCTGTTGGCAACACATTTTCTTAGTTTTGTTTCATTTGGGAGTATTTTGACTTTTTCATTCCAAAAGTATATTTTTGCTTAGTATTAATTCCAGATTGACTTCCTTTAGCACATTGCCACTTCCTTCTAACCCACCATTAGCAAGGAAGATTTACAAAGGCAGAGATGGAGATGGAGAAGAGGTCTTCCATCCACTGGTTTACTCCCCAGTTAGCTGCAACAGCCAGGGCTGAGCCAGGCGGAAGCCAGCAGCTTCATGCAGGTTCCCACATGCTAATCCACCATTTTTAAAAGTATGATATTTGGTGTCATTCTAATTGTTTTCCTTCTAAAGATAAGGTATTATTTTTCTGTGAGCATTCAAATTCATTTGTTTAGAAATCTTACCGTGCATTTGCATGGTTTTTTTGTGTGTGAAAATAACTTTTCCACCCAGCTGTAGATAACTGCCTTGGTTGCTTTGTACCTAGACAGGTGTTACACTGCTGGAAGAACAGTCAGTAGCTGGCAGGCACTCTGGATCTCGTTAATGCTGGATTTATGTTGATTCTACTGATATGCCAGCAGAGTTGCTTCTTATTCTTTTGTTGTTGTTGTTGTTGTTTTTAATTTTAGTTTTAAAGGTATGTGGGGAAGGTGGGGAACTCCAGGCCAGGACATGCCACCCAAGCCCCAAGGTGGGAGAGTTGCAGATTGCCTGGGGGTGGAGGTCTGGGGACTTATTGAAGTTTGAGCGGCCGAGGGCATGTTTGACAGGGAAGGAATGACTTCTGGGGTCTGCCATGGATTGTGCCACTGCACTTGCAGGTAGGTGAGAGAGCTGACAGAGTGGTTTCACCCAACCTGACTTGGCTGGCCCCAGTTCCCGTACTCACCCGGGTACTGTGGCCTATCCTGACTGGCCCATACCCATTCTAGCTCTCGCTGATGAGTTATATCGCCTGGCCCAGCCTGCCTCACACTCAAACCTTGCTCTCATGTATGGATGTTGCGGCCTACCCTGGCCTATCCACACCCATTTTTGGCTCTCGCAATTGCCAGTGGGTACTAGAGTCTAGCCCAGTCTGGTCTGCCCCCAGACCCAACCCATAGTCATGCCTATGGGTGCTGCAACTTTGCTCAGCCTGGTTTGCCCCTAGCCCAGGCTCTTGTACTCCCCAAAAGGTCTGTGGCCTAGTAGGGGGGTTTCCCAAGTTCCCCTACCAGGCCCACTCCCAGCCTTGGAACATACATGTGCCAGCAGGGGTAGTGGCATAGTCTGCCCTCAGTCCCAGCCCTTGCATGTGCCAGCAGGTGCTGCAGCTTGGCCCCACTTGGCCTCCTCCCAACCCCAACTCCCAGGACTGCCAGGTGAGTTCTGTGGTCCAACCTCGCTCAGCCCATCACCACCCCCAGCTCTCCATGTAAACTCAAAGATGCTATATTCCCTCAGAGGTGAGCCCACAAGTCCCCTACAGAATCTGCACCCAGATTTAGTTCTCTTGTGTTCTGTTGGGAGCTGCGCCCCAGCCTGTTGTGGCCCACCCCCTGCTTTGATTCTCTAGGGCAAGTGTTACAGCCTGGTCAGGTATGCCACTTAGACCCAGCCCGCACCAGTGGGTAGCGGGTGATGCTATTTTTCCTAGCTCAGGTATCCTGTGTGGTCGGGTACCTCGCTGGCACATAGGAGATTTGGGATGGGAGCAAGCCTATAGGGGAATTTGGGGAACTCCTCTGCTAGGCTACAGCTCCTGCAGGTAAGTATAAGAGCTGGGACTGGGAGCAGGCTAGACAGAGTGGGCTGCAGAACCTGTTGGCATACGTGTGAGCTGGGTGTGGGGGCTAGCTGGGCAACAGCAGTCCACAGCACACATTGGCATAAGTAAGAGCAAGCCAGGTCAGGTCGAACCACAATACCTGCCAGTTGCATGAGGGCTTGGAGTGGGCCAGGCTGGGCTAGGCTGCTGCACCCCCCCTGTGAGAGCTGGAGCTGGATGCAGGCTAGACTGAGACAGGTTGTAGCACGTGAATGCCAAGACTAGGGGTGGGTCATTTTAGACTGGATCACAGCACCTATTGGCACTCATGAGATCCAGGGCTGGGAGTGGGCCTGACAGCTTGGAGCAGGCCTAATAGAGGAACCTCAGATATCCCCATGCTGGGCTGCTGCTTTGACTGGTGAACATGAGAGCTGGGACTAGGGGTGGGTCAGGCTGGGCTAGGCAGCTGCACCTGCTGGCATGCGCAAGAGCCAGAATGGGTGTGGTCCAGCTGAGCAATGCTGCAGTACTACCTGTTAAGCACCAGGACTGGGTATGAGTCATATTAGGCTGAATCACAGTACTCCCCACCCCAACTAGCAGGTACAAGATCCAGGCCTGAGAACATGCCTGGCAGGAGAACTGTGGATACTCCCCTGCTAGGCTGTAACTATTACTAGTGAGCACAAGAACCAGGGCTGGTGGTGGGCCAGTCTAGATCAGGCAGCAGTGCCTGTCAGCATAGGCGATGGGTGGGTGGGTCAGCCTGAGCTAAGCTGCAGCATCCACACGTATGAGAGCTCGATGTGATATGGACTGGGCCAGGATAGACTGCAGCAGAAGCTGGTGGCATACGCAAAAACTGGGGCTGGGGATGGGTCTAGTGGGAATTATTGGGGGTCGCCCAATAAGCTGCGACCCCTGGTGGTATGTGCGAGGATTGGGTCTGTGGTGGGCTGGCTGGGCTGGGCTGCAGCACACATTGGTTTGTGTGAGATATAGGGCTGGGGTGGAACTGACCAGGCAGCTGCATCCACCACATGCTCATTGGCTGGTACACGTGACAGACCAAGTGTGATGCTGCACTGCTGGTGCTCCCAAGAGTCAAATCTGAGGTCACTCAGGTGAGATTTTTTTGAGGGAACTCCCTGACTGGACTGCTGGACTCAGACCTTGGCCACAGGGAAAATCACAGGATGTGTGTCCTGACATTGGAGTGTATGTATTGGGACTTGGCTTCCTTAATTGCTGATGCATGTGCAGTGGACAGCATGACCAGCTCTGCACATGGGGGAAATGACAGCCCATCTAGGCCCACAGGGGATGTCCACTGCCTCATCAGAGGATGGAAAGCAGAACAGGATGGACAATTCTTTTGGCCAAGTTTTCCAATATGTTCTTGTGTTAGTGCATGCACTAAGTTGGAGTTAGCGACCTTGGAAAGATTTTCTCAACCCTGGTGCAATGAAGCTGACAATGACTCGGAACGATGAAAACAATTCAAGTGGCATCCTATAAACACTCTTCCCCACATTGGGGTCTCTAAGGCAACATCAAACGACCATCTCCTATCCCCATGTGCTGATATAGTTTCCTCCCATTCAGACACAGAGAAAAAAAGAAATCTGAAACATTTGTCCCACCCACCTTCCTCCGTACTCAACCCTCCCTATACTGATTGATGGCCAACATGAGCATTCATCCCTCTCATCAGTTTCAATGTTAGAAAGAAAATTAAAAATTTAATTAAAAAATAACTTTCAGCTGAAGTTGTATTGAGTTGTGGAAATAGAATTAATTTAGAAAGTTTTGTTAAAACTTTTTTATAATGAAACTACCTTTTTTGGTGGCAGTAATAGCTGTACTTAATTCTTCATAGCAAATAAAGTTTTGGAAACAAAGTCTCCACTGGAAGAGAAAAATTGAATGTTTCTGTACCCACACATTCAAAGCAAAAGCACTGAGTACCTTAAAATGCTGTTAGGGGGCCCAGTGCAATAGACTAGTGTCGCCTTACATGCTGCAGGATCCCATAGGGTACCAGTTCATGTTCTAGCTGCTCTACTTCCCATCCAGCTCCCTGCTTGTGGCCTGGGAAAGCAGTCAAGGATGGCCCAAAGCCTTGGGACCCTGCACCTGTGTTGGAGATCTATAAGACACTCCAGGCTCCTGGCTTCAGACTGGCTCAGCTCTGGTTCTTGTGGCCACTTGGGGAGTAAACCAGCAGATAACTTTCTCTGTGTTTCTCTTTCTCACTGTAGTATGAATATAGTGTATTTTATTCATTATTAACAAGTGGATATTTGAAATGTTTTTACTCTTTGGCTATTAAAATTAATGCTATTGTAAACATTTGTGGACACATTTTGAGTAATAATTTTTCATTTCTCTTGGAAAGGAACTTATGTGTTGTGTGGTAATTCTCTTCTTGAGGAGCTAATAGATGATTTTCCAAGTTGCCCGCCTTACCATTTTATATTCCCATTGTCTGTGTGAAGATTCCATTTTCTCCACATTTTATCTTTTTTTATATTTATTTTTTTAAGTGGGTCAGACTATTATTTCCACATTTTTTTTTCTGTATCTGGGGTAAAGGGGGAGATAAAGGGAGAAGCCCCACCCAGCCTCCCACCTATCCCAGGTCCCCAATGTGGGGCATATTCCGAGGGTCTTGTTCAAGTGGTTTTGATAGTTCAACATTTATGTGTTGCTGCCAGTCTCGCCATTCCAAGCACGATGAAATTGCTGCAGAATCCCCTGATTGACATAGTCCACCTTAGAGTGTCCATTTGCCCAGTTTCGCACTGCCAACATATGGCTGGGGTAGTTGATTGATTTGTTCTGTGCTCTGTCGTGGAGCCAGGTTTCCTCTGCAAGTTCTGATGGACTGCCATATCCTCCATGTACACCTGGTCATGCTCTCCACTGCTCCATCTAAGCCTCTGAGGAGGCTCGGCTCTGGCACTTGCACTCAAATACCAATTTTTGAATGTAGCCTGAAGAACTTGAATCAGAAGCTACAGAATGCTTGGATCTCCTGGGACCCTGGGAAATCTGCCTCCCCTTTCTCACTGGATCAAGCCATCCTTGAACTGTGATTTTTTTCCTGTTCTCTTACACTGAAAGGCCTGTTTAGACTGATTTCTCCCCATCCACCAATCCTCAGTATTTTCTCAAGCTGGGATTCTTAGACATCCTCAGGGACCTCAGAGTTCTTTATAAGAAAGATTCAAAGAAGTTTGTGATTCTCTTTGTATAGAACACCGCACTTCTGATGTCTACTGGAGGGTGAACTTGAAGGTGATCATGTTGAGATAGTCTTTCTGAATGAAACTATGAGTAAGTTTGATACAAGTTTCAGGGAACACCTTTGGCAGCCTTCACAGAGTGACAAGGCCGGGGCTGGAGACAGCACCCTCGCCTGAGCCAGGTGAGATCCAGTTGAGTGATGACTCCTCTTGGGACCCTCTCCCACGTTTTGAAAAACCAGTGAGTTAATAGGATTATGATTTGGTAGGTGGAAGGGGAAAATTTTTTTGTAGTTGACTCAACAAGGAGTCCTCTCATACTCTAAAAAATTTGAGACTCCCAAACAATGCTGCTTTTATGGGTAATAGTACTCATTTTTAAGGAAAGAAAATTTTACAGTATTCAGATTTATTTTTTAAAAACTTGAATATAGTATATACTATCAAAAATAACATTTTTATTAAAATAACTTTTTCAAAACAAGGTTTAACTTGTAATGCTTTACATTTTTGCACATGTCTTTAATATTTGGCTTACTAGACCAAAGCCTGTATCTCATATTTCCTTGGCATTTCATCAGTGGTGATACCCTGTTTTAGTTGAAATCTACTTATGATGAAAATCCAACTTCATGCATACAGATGTTTGAAAAGGGAAAGGACCTTGAACAGCTCTGGTAGATCTATGAAATTTTTTTTTTTTACATGCCCCATGAATGTTTCTCGAAGATTAATTGTCACATGGAATTTGTAACCACAGTGACCAACTTTTGCTTCCCTGCAGTAAAAGGTAGCACTGTATCCTGTAAATAAGCTGGAACGACACTGGCTTTCCCTAAGTGCCAGCCTAGCACAGCCGGAGTCCGAGTCGGAAGCGCCCCTGCCTCTGCTCTCCCTATCTCATCTGCAGCCCTTCTGCCGACTCAGCTCCAGTCCCGGGCTGGTGTGCTGTTTCTCTGCACAGTTCTGTCTCTGCTTTTGTGCTTGCTTTTCTTTGGCTTCTTAGCAAACAAGTTAAGTATTTGTTGAGTCTTGATCTAGTTAAAACCTACTAGCAGAGCACATCTCTGATTTTGAAGGTGGAACAAGGATTCCTGGATGGAACCTGTTACACTTGGCAATGGCATTGCAGTCAGAAACATCTGATCATCCCTGGGTCTGGCTGACCCTGTCGTCCTGTCCTGGTAGAAGTGAAAGTACACCACATCGTTTATTGGTACTAACCAGTAAATACCTTGCAGTTTTGAAATTTGAGTGGCATAGGATGTTTTTGTTTTTGAATACCTAGTGTAAGAAGATTTTATTTGCAATTTTCTGTCATTTCTGTAGATTGAACAAATTTTAAAGTATTGCACCTGTCTCCTCACAAAAGTGCGATTTCAAAAAGTGCAGTTTCTTTATGTGTGGTAGATATGTAAGGTATGTCTGTATGTGTGTGTACTTAGTTATTTTTAAACATTGGGTTATAAATGAATTCATGTTGTGGAAACACAAAGGGATAATTGTAAAAAATCATCAACTGTAGAGAGGAGGACTGCTGGGTTAGGTTGAGAAAAAGTTATGAAATGTTAAGCGATTGTGTTTTTATTCCAGACAATTTATGGTAGAGAGGAAATCCATTTGCATACGGGGGACTGTGAAAAGGCAAGGAAAGGTATGTTTTTCTAGACCACCAATTCTGTCAGCTTGGGTTTTGCCCACCAAGTGGTCTTTTGGCAGTGACTGGAGACAGCTTGGAGGAAGCTGCCAATGGTGGTTTGTGTTTGGAGGCCAAGCATGCTGCTCAGCCCTGCTCTGTGCACAGGGCAGCCCCACAAAAGACATGTCAGTAATGCCGAAGGTGAAGACCCCTGCTTGTGAGCCAGGATGCCAGTCTGGAATAAGGGACTCAGGGAGGAGGCAGCGAGCTAGTAAAAGAGAAATGACACTTAGCTTTTGTTGGTTATTTAAACCCAAGTCTTTTTCCATCTTCCCTTGACTTTGCAGGAATGGCAGTTTGTATAGCATGGCACACGGGCTACCTTGAGCATCCTGATGCCTCGGGTTTTGGTGGTCCGCCGTGCACAGGCACCCTTCAGTTTATGTAGAGCGGGCAGAGTCCAGGGATTTCAGGTTAAGGACCTGGGAAGCTGGCAATGAGTGCAGGGCAAAGAGCAACAGTTAATTTAACCCTTATGCAGATGGAAAACTGAATATTTATAGAATATGTAAAAGTAGACAATGAGACTAGTAGTTAAAATAGAGCTTATAAATAGTGGTACTTTTTTTTTCCCAAACTGTCTGGTAGTACTTGAGAGAAAATAGATTAAATCATAGAAAGTAGAGATAGATTTTTGTATTCAGTTGGAAGGGAATTTTTGGTTGCTTGTGAGGAGTTTTGAGATTAATGGCAGGGATTTTGTATCAGGTATAATAATTTTATATCAAATTTTGGGGATCTTTTACTTTCTTAACAAATATGAGCTTTCTGTTTCATGTGTTTTGTTTCTTAATCATTTAACCAACCAGCCACAGCAGTGCTAGGAAATTCTGTAGATTCTGGGAGATTGCAAATGGGTTTTATATTCTAATAAGGGAAAGTCAGCAAGTAGAAACGGAATAGTGTGGTTTCAGATAACAGTAAATAGAATGAAGAACGAGGATCTGAGAGACAAGGAAGGAGTGCTTTTGGAAAACTGTCTGAGGGTGGCCTCTCTGAGGAGGTGACATTTAAGAGACAATAGGTGGCACAGTGGCATAGCATACTAATCCTCTCTCTGTGGCATGACATCCCATGTGGTCACCAGTTCTTGTCCTGGCTGCTCCACTTCTGATCCAGCTCTCTTGCTTATGGCCTGGGAAAGCAATGGAGGATGACTGACGGCTTTGGGTCAGAGGAGCCATTTGGGGAGTGGCTCGGCAGATGGAAAATCTCTCTCCTT